GCCTGAGTTGTTGGCCGGGGTCTGTCTCCTGGGTTAGCCGCAGGACTGGTGCTCCCTTCCCTCCTATGGCAGCCGTGGTCCAGCCCCATGGAGCTGGGTTGCTGCAGATGCCTGCCTGGGAACTGTGGGAAGTGGTCAAGGGGCTGGATGGGGAGACCCATCCTGCCTGCACTGTGTGGCTCAGCAGCCTCCTTGCTGTCCCTAGGTTGCGTCAGAATGAGTCCTCACTGTCCCTGCAGCAGTACCTCCAGTATGACACCTTGCAGCAGAAACTCAAGTGCCTGGAGGAGGAGAATCAGAAGCTTCGCATGGAGGTGAGCAGAGCAGCAGTGGAATACCCCTCTCTGTCCCCACCTCTGTCTCGCTCACTGCCGAGGGTCCTGAGCTGCCTCTTGGTGAGGCTGGGGGTCCTGCCTGTCAGGCTCAACCCCTCTGCTTCTCCCTAGGCCACCAACATTGCAACTGAGACCTCTCAGTATGAGGACCAGGAACAGCAGCTGATGATCGACTGTGTGGAGCAGTTCTGTACGTGGGGCTGGGCTTGTAGTGGGGCAGTTCCTCTATGCACTTGGGCTGGGGGTCCACAGGCATTGCCTATTGTCACTGCGTGGGCTGGGAGCTGTGCCCTGGTGGTGACAGACCCTGGGCCTTCCCAGCCGAGGCGAGCCAGCAGGTCGTTTACCGGTGGGAGGAGCGGGCCCGCAAGGCGGAGGACACGGCGCGGCAGCAGGAGGAGATCAGCCAGCTCCTGGCACAGGTCGTGGACCTGCAGCAGAAGTGCCGCACGGTGGGTGTCCCTGCCCGTGCCGGGGAGGCTGGGGGGGGCAGAGCACAGCTCCCTGACTGCTCCCTCCTGCCTGCAGTACGGCTCGGAGGTGGAGGAGCTCCAGCAGCACCTGGCCCTGGCGAAGGAGGTGCAGCAGCAGCTCCGCACAGAGGTGAGCCCTGGGAGCTCCTGGCCAGGGCTGCCGCCGGTGGGGTGGGGGTCCCCCCGCTGCCACCAGGGCCCTGCCTGAGCTGAGCCCCTGCCTGCAGTTGCGGGACCTGCAGGAGAAGTACGCGGAGTGGGGCGGGGTGCG